TTGGTTCGGTTCAAGCGCCAAGTAGGTCAGGTGCCGAGTTGAACAATGCAGACCAGAGGCAAAATTTGAGGTGCCGAGTTGGCTAGGTGCCGACTGGGTGCCGAGTTGGTAGGTGCCGAGTTGGCAAGGTGCCAATGTGACCGACATTCGATGTAGTTACTGTTTCACTGTGTTCACTTGATTGGCAGATGGGTGAATGCAGTTTGTAAATTGTATGGGTGAACATGGTGAATGCAGTTTGTACTTACCATTTGTGAGTTCATACCGTCGAACTTGAAGGGCTTCATCTCCTGACGTGCCAGGGACTTCCATGTCGGTTTTTAGTTACACTGTCATAAGTTGTCAGGTTGAGGCCTACATTCATCAGCAGGTGTGCATGTGACAGTTGATCATGCATCGATCAGTTCCACTTCCACTTATTTCCAGAACTCCCCTACATAACCAAAAATTCCCCCAAAAGACGTACCTTTTTCCCTTCCCATGGAATAACAAACATCATCTTTGAATGCTATACTGGATAAAAGTAAATATCAAACACAACTTCCCAAGACCCGAAGACTGCAGAAAATAGAGAACGTGATTACCTTACGTGCTAATCTATCACCGACCTGCATGACCTGTGTGTCAAGGGCAACTTGCTTATTCAGTGTTGTTCCCGATGCTATTCAATAACGTGTAGTCAGGGACGTGCGCACCAGACTCACTAGGGAAAGAAAATTTGGCCTAGTCTTGTTTTCAAGACGTTTCTGCGACTGAATTGCTGCCGAGAGAGCTAGAGGGCGCTATTATAATTGTCCGAAAAATATTTCCTTTGCCTGTGACTAGCTATGATCACCCCCACATTGAACCGCCAGCAACACCCTAGATACTAGAGGTACGATAGGCCATGTCTGAATTACTTGGAAGTGACTTTAAATCACACGTAACTTTATTGGAATTGGATGCAGCCAGTACCATGAAATCATTTTTAATTTTAGGCCCAGCACTTATTCGATCGCTATGCAGCAAATTACAGTTACAATGATGTAGATTAATCCTAAAAGAACCGAGGTAAAATTTGCCGTTCCTCGACATTTTCTTCAATAGTTCATGTTTTCCACGCAGCGTCTTCAGAAATGATGACGTCTTGCATTCATTTGACACAAGTATTGTGAAAATCGGATGTACTGGTCTCTTTCATGAAAAGCGCATTTTTAGTCTGAGACAGTACTTTTCCCACTTAACGCGCATGAGATCATAACTTCAAATAAATGATCGTAACGACTTAACCATCACGTGAGGTTAAATTAATCCTTCGCAGATGTACTCAAGTGCCTGTGGTGAGTGTCTTCAGTTTAATGCATACCGAATTGTTTTATTTTTTTAAGATCGTACATTGACAACCAAGTTAGGGAGATCCGCCCCACCCCCACTCGTAAGATGGTTCACTAAGGCTGGCCTTTCTGGTGTCAAAAATGCCATTGGTGCTTCGACAGTCTGTAAAATAATTCATAAACATAGAACAGGCTTTTGGACAGACGACTTCCCTTAACAGGCTCGCTTATCCGCCGTGTTGATTTTTCCAGTTGCATTGTACGTACGCTGTGGTACGGTCCCGCATTTGGCGCACGCGATAGCTTAGGCGTACGAAGAAATGCATATGAGACTGGGAGATCGGGGTGGTACAATCATTATAGATGTGTATGTCGAGCCAATAAAATAGAGAACCGAAGTGTGACGTCACTGTGAACCAGAGAGTGCCGTGCAAACGAATGAAGTACGCGCGCGTGTTGTTTCACGCGCTCATGCCTTCGACACACTAATTGCGCGCATGACGTATTCACTTCGGTACTCTATTGGATATGATATCCTACTCTATGGTCGAGCCATGAGTGCGGACGTTGGAGAGGTATCCACAGTTAGCATATGTACATACGCAACCACGTTCTCATTGGTACGATCTTGTAGCACCTTACGCTGTTTCCCGTCATGCCTTACTTGAGCGATCTTAATGTGAACGCGCACGCAGCCTATGTAGTCGAGATTGTTGGGAACTCAGCACACGGGGGCCCTTTTCAATACTCGACTTGGGATCCGTTCAGGCTTCGTTCCCAAAACCAATCCCCGATTGTGGGCCTGAAGCGTTTAAATTGAATTGGATTACTGTAATTTCTGAATCTCTTGCATCTTATTTGATGTTTTGTGGCACTATTAGACTAACTACAGCGCGCTTACAGCTTCAAAGTCAGCTAGTTAAAAAACAGTTGAACCTGAGACGGAGCCGAATTTGAGTATTGGAAAACGGCCCAAGTCCCATAAAAGTGAACAAAACGGACTTAGTGTGCATATCCAGATGTTAGTTCGGGTTGCTCAGCAGTGTTCGGTTAATGCCCCGATATCTGAGCACGCCAGATAAACGAGACCGTTACACCGCTACTGAGCGGCTAGAAATTGTGGAAATGGAGGAATAATATCTCTTGGTAAAATCTAGACTTTCCGTTTCTCTGCTTCGTCTCGTGAAAGAGAAAAGTTTAGATTTTACCGAGTCATAATACTTCGCCCATTCCACTCAATCTAAAGTGAAACAAACAAAAAGCAACTATTATTGTGTTGTGCGCCACTCATTTCTCTATTTTTCGGCAGGGGGGGGATTGACATGATTCGAGATTTTGGTGGCCTTCGACGTACATTGCCGGGTACATGGTGACATGAGGCGTTTCGTGATTGCGCCCTCTCGTGGCAGCTGGTTATTCAGCACCATCTACAATGTCTTGAAGTCAAGACTAAGCTTTGCCGCGCGTCGCGCCAGTGTCGCAGCCACAACACTTCAATTTCATAATGTCCCAGGGTTTTGAAGGGGATAAGGAAGGGGAGGTGAATAATAACACGATACTCTGTGTGAGTACACAATTAAGTTGAAAAGTGGTCATCATTGCCCGCAGTTACCAAATTTTTGGACGTTTATCCTTCATCAGGAACAACTGCAGCAACTCCTCTTTTGTCGAGGTCAATGGTGCCACTTCACATAGTACACGTCACGCGCGCGCTAATATCCATATAAGGAAATCGTTGAAGCGAGAAGTACATTTCATAGCATGGCTAGAGGCATGTGTTTGGGAAAAGTTGAAGCCAGATCGTTTTACAAAATGATTGGAATTTTTTTAATTTAAATTTGTTCGTTTGTTTTGACCTTGTATTCTCGACAGGCATTCATGCGGCATTTATTCAAAAGGAATTAATGCTCCTCACCTTCGACTGTGACATTAGGGCACCCTTTTATTCTATGGTTCTCATTTCCAACCGACCCTATTTTGGGCTCCCGATCACGGAAAAAGTTTTTTTTCCCACACTGACCATGCTAAAATAACCTTAACCCCCCCCCCAAAAATGAGGGGAAAAAATTGGCCAGCATGACCTTTGAAAACAAAAGCCCCGAATACTTACGATTTCGCAAACGACCAACAGCGACGGTGGGCGTTCGCGTAAACATTCGATATACCACACCTTTCAGTGGCCCACTGAGGTTCGTGCATAGCCCTACACCAGCAACATGGAAATTTTTTTAAGGATTTTTTTTCCGACCGACCGACCTTATCTCATCAAGTGGTAAAAGAAATGGGAACCATAGAATTTAAAAAATAAGGGCACCCTTGTCAGCGTCCATTCTCCAGATCTGGTCTTAAAGGTGGTGTACAGCATTTTTTTTTCGTAATTTCACAAGATTGGCTGAATACAGTGTGTAATATTCAACATAACTTACATTCCACTAACTCGTTTCATGATTGAGTCAATAGTGCTTTGTGAAAAATTGTAAAACAGCGCGGCATTTTAAACGCTTAAATTGAAGGTCTTGTAGTTTATCTTGCGTAAAGTCTATGGAGTATAGTGCGTTCGTAGTACATGTACAAGCGAACATCGTCCGTGGGGTCAGGGTGGGAAACAAGCATGATATGTTCTCGTTCCCTTAAAAAAGGAGCAGTTTTCAATGGCTAGGAGTAATTAGTGAATTTACGTTTTGGAGTAATGCACCTCCTCGACAATATAGCATTGCGGATTCATGGAAAAATGTCATCCAAAACATAGCAGTCGACTCGTGTCCGTGACAGTGGTTCCCTAGGCTTTCAATCTAGCTGTTCCAAGAATTTGTCAAAGACACTCATACCGAGCGATGGGGATTTCATTCCCCCTTCATCCGGCCTCCAATTTTTGTAAGTGGCCAGTATTTTTCCTGGTGGGACGCCCCCCCCCCATAATATTTGTAACCGGCACTGCACAGTGGACCCGGGATGTACATTTGATGCAAACTATGGGGCATCCCGACCCCTCCCTCCTTTGTGTTGGTACATGGTCAATGTTATACTGGTATCTCAGGAATTCTTTTCAGACATCTGGGGGGTGTTAAGTAACAATAGGCTGAATGTGTATAGAGATTGGACTTGTTGGGGGTAGGCCTCGTACCCCTCTGTCCCATTTCGTGCCTGGGGTTCTCGCGGTCGGCGTGACGTCACTATGGACTGTTATCGTACGGTGCGGCAAAGGGGCAAATTTACCCTTCGTGCTATTCAAGACGTTCCCGGATGTCCGACAGCGAGCTGAGACCGTACGTAAACTGAGCCCAGCGGTGAGGGCACAAGGCAGTCACTGAGTCGCGGGTGATTGTTACCGGTCACGCCAAGTGAGGGTTAAGGAAATAAGAATTAGTATAAAGTAACTAAAGTTAAAGATATCCAAGTAGCGCAAGCCAGGCTCTTGTTGGAAAGGAAGGCCCCTGGGCCAGTTTGACTTTTCCTTTCCTGGCATAAAACATTTGGCAAATGTTTGGTCTTTGTAGAATGCCGAATAACTAATATTATTAATCATAAAAGGTCAAGCATTTTTTGCCAAGTAGATTTCCCGTCTGAGATTTCATTTGGGGGTTTTCGAAATGCGTTCAGTTCAGTTTATTGTGTGAGAGGGAAAGGGGAAATTGGGACATCCGTCTTCTAAAAGGACTGGCTGAAGTTTAGCTATAACTGGTGCCCGGCAATTCGAACGCACTCTTTGAACGATTCTGAAACTCCGATGCGAGGACACCACTGAACAGTATGGCCCCACAAGCGCGTCAATTCAAAAAGGTCAATTATTTGTTAAAAAAAACTGAACGAGTGGAACAGAGCGTGTCCTTTTCGATACAGATTTCTAAATTATTTTGGTCTTAGCGTTGAACATGAAACAACATTTAAAATGCCTCTAAAACGGCGGACACGGGCAAAAGGTCAGACAAAGCAGAAATCCTCTAAATCTCGAGGTAAGGTCTGAAGGTTGCCACGCTTGGCTGTGGAATTGTGATTTTATGACTTAGGCCTAGGCCCTCCCTACTGCCTTAATCCTAAACCAGCTAAATGTATTTGTATTGTATTGAGACAATTTGATGCAACTTGTATTTTGTCAAAAACGTGTAGAAATGGAATGCTCATCGTAAGAAGGGGTGCTGGGTCTATAAGCCTCGGCTTTTTCCCAGCATCCTACATGTTTGTTTGCCCCAATCATGAATAATAAATAACATTGTGTACATGTACGTACATGTATCTTGTTACTCTGAATTCATTATTCATCTAGCTGCAATGTTAATGCTTCAAATCTTCTCAGCTGAATTTTATTTTTAGGACGTTATCACTTTCTGATGGCTGTTATGACATTTGAAGGGAAAATTAGTGTTTTCCGAATGTGGAACTCTTTCCATTTTTCCATGCAGTGATATACATTGTATTAGCCATCTGAAAGAATTAGAACTGTCAAATATAAAAAACAGTGAAAATATTGACACACTGACTGAGGACTGGTATTCAATTTGAGCAGTCTCATCTAAACTTTGTACACAAGGGCGTCAAGTGGCAACAATTATTGAAAGTTTTAATTAAATTTGCAGTCCATTGAACCTCTTGGTGTCGGGCCTCCTGGGAGTTGGTTGTTAGCTTCGACTTGTCTGATAAACTGTAGAAAGCTCTATCTTGATTTACATTATGTAGGTACATAGTACATGAAGGTGCCAAGGACTGGTTGCAATATTCCAAGGTTTAATTCATGCTTTTCAAATTTCACATTTGTAGAGTCATCGTCAGAAGACACGGATCGTTGTACAGCAGAGGAAATTGTCAATAGACTGGCTAAAAAGTATTTATTGGTGAGTGAAAATGTGTACATGTATGTAACATTTGACAAGTTTTGTCACTGATGCTTCATTTCATACTACAGGTGGAAGCGAAAAGGCAGCAAATTTAATGTCACAAAAGATTTGCTGTAAAATTTTGCTTGAGTTGAAATGTGTTCAGCATTTGCAAATTGGCAGCAAGAATAGTTGATCTGACGTCACAAATTGGCATTTGTGTTCACTTTCATGCCCAGAATAAACCAGCCTTTACACTTTTGTTGCTACCAGCTGAAAAGATGGTAGCACTGAGATCATCAAAGCTTATCTAATATGTTCAAAAGGCTTGTAAAAAATTGGATTAAAGACTTGTCAGTGCTTTACAAGTGTATTGTACAAAGTAATTGTATTAGCAGAGTACTATAGCTATGGTCCCTGTACACTTCTGAAATTGTCAGTCTTGAAATTCGGCATTTTGTTCCTTCATGTATAAACCAGAAATCCAGCACAGACACTGAGCAGTCGGACCAAAAGGAGAATGAAAGAGCTTCAACCAGGGTGAGTAACTTCCTGCATATCACTTATCAGTTAAAAAAACATGAAAAATATATTTACTGTAATTTTGCCCCTGACCTGTACCGGTACATGTACATGTATGTATGTCATGGGGTATTATATCAGAGCAAACAAGCATACAACTTTTCTTCGCACAAATTGATGTCCTTGTTTTATTTTTGTACCATCCACGTATATTGTACATGTGCATGATTAGATATTAAAAAACATCTCGCCAAAAATCATGGGCAGTACAGCTTTCCTAATTTCCTTATATCCAAGCAACTGTTTCAGACTCATTGTGACTAGCATGCCCTCTTGCTCCCCTCTCCCTTATTACCAAGGTGGCCGATCCTTACGATGCAGACTTGGAGACCAGTGAAGTAGACACAGCTGCCTCGGTGGAAACAGCCAGCGACATGGAGTACCTCGAGGCCCAGCCCTCGCCGCGCATTCTCTCCCCTTCCAGACAAGCCAATGTGGCTCCTCTCCTCTCAGTCAGCAGTAAACATGGTAAGAAAATCTTCTCAAGCACCAGATCAGGGTATGATGATGGTTAACTTCTTGAAGGTGGACACTGTTTTCTGAATGATTTGTTTTTCAATGGCTGCAAAGGAATTGCAGTTGGAACGAATGAAAGAGTACTTCATGCTTTTTAGTAAATTCAAAAGAAAAATCTTTCTTGGCTTTTTAAATTCTTTTTTCAGGATGTACATTTAGTCCTTTTCTTCTGCTTTAAAAAACAGCTAACACTCAGGGATCAAGGGTATACATGTATCACTTTTTCTCCCCATATTTAAAAGAAGTCATGGAAAACGCCCAAGAATAATTGTTTACCACAAAAAGGGACTTACATGTACAGTGAGCAGAAAATATGCAACAGATGAGATTTTGGGGCTCAAACCTCTAAAATCTCTAAAGTATTAACAGAAAGTTACTAATTTGATCTCAAAGCTGAAAAGGTAGTAGTAAGAACAGGAAGCTCAGCATCTTGTTCAACTCTCTGCAGAATCATCAAGGCAGAGTTCGTCCAAGTTTCTATCAACCCGTCGGCAACACGAGTCCAGAAGGCCATCTGCCACCACCCCTCAGAAATCTGCCACAGCACAGGAGAAGCACTCCTTCCAGGGTGACAGCGGGTTGTTCATCTCCCCGCTTAGCAACATTCCCCGGCGCCATTTGCCCAAGATGAATGCGTCTGACACCTCCACACCCACGTCAGCCTGCGGCGACATCCGATCGGACCTGAATGACTCTTGCTTCGGCTTTGAGAGCCTGGTGGCACCGGATCCCCTCGCGCCCATCTCGCCCGTCGACCCCATTTCACCTACAGGTCAAGCTGCTCGCTCAAGGTCTGCTCTCAGTGATGTTTCACTGACAAGAGACAGCAGTGCATCTACCTCGTTCAGAGTGGGCCCAGCCACGGACTGTGGCCCACCCAAGCGGAAGGTGTCTGCGACCCTGGATTTGACGAGTCTTGTTCAGGAACAGCCACAGCCTGTCAAGAAACTGAAGAAAAAGCTTAAGCCTGATACAGCTGTGAGTATGCAAAGATACGTGTACTGTAAATGTACATGTAATTTTGGGGTTTCTCTCTTTTCAAACACAAACAAGGCTTACAGTTATGTAAATACCTGTGTGTAGTATCACAGAAGAGAAGGATTTTTACCATGATTTGCAGTGTCTCTCATGCTTACCATCTGTTCTCCTCACTTTCCATTTATGTAGAAGTCCATAGCATGTTAACTGGCAGGGATTTCCAGTGCCTGTTATACGCTGTTACACTAGTTAATCTGCATGCAGTACTGGGCAATGTCTTGTCCTCACACTTGAGTGAATCCCATTTGGGCGTGTACGCACGCAGAGGCTTGAACAAGTTGATGGATATTGAGTGTGTGTGATGCCCTCAAGGGGTCGGTGTGCCACAGGCAGGTACTGTAGGTGCATGGCAGAGCGCTTAGCACCACTGTCTCGTACATGTCAGAGTTTCAAAAAGGCAAAATCCCAGAAGGACCCTGCCAGTACAAAAATTGGGGTTCAAAGAAAATAATAATTAAGATGAACCACTCATGTTCTGCAGTTGTAAACATGTTAAAATGTGAAACAATTGGCTGACTTGCTGCACCGTGAAAGACATTTTGGTGGCTTCAACTTGAGTCTATCTTTGGTAAGACAACCAAATACGTGTACTTTACCAAGTCAAGGTACATTCTTATCAAATGCTTTGGCACAGACATGACAGAATAGTGTCAAGTACTTTTTAGGTACATGTACACTATACAGGTTTTGCCAGTGTAGACTATTAAGCACTAACCCTACTATTGTCTCAGAAATTGTCAGCAAACGGTCACCAAGGGTCAGTCTTTGTAAAGTCTAAACTTTGTAAAGGACCCTGTTTGTGGTATATTGTCCTTACATATAACTCCCCCTCCCATGTTTGACTGGGGGGCATGGGTGGTTACATGTACATGTATTTCATCTTCTACTTTTTTGTGGTGGGTTGTGAAGAATTTTTCAGACTTCCCAATAATCCAGATGTATTCAATAACACTCATGAAGGTGAACAATTTTTAAAAGGCCATAAATATGTATGGTTTTGATGATGTAAGGTTCTGCAGGAATGTAACACATACATGTACATGTATAATTACAGATGTATCATGAACATCACCCCCAAATTTCATATGCAGTTTTTGTGTACATGTTTGTTTGACGGGGCTGGAAAAGGTTTCTACATTTGCCAGATGGCATCCATGAATTGACAGCGTATTAGTGGTACATGTACATACATGTAAATGTAACTTTAACTAGCAAATTCTGCTTCACTGTTCCTGTCCTTAAAGAATAATTTTCAAGTGTCTCAATGGATTTTTTTGAAATTATTTTTAAATGGAATACAATGGGATAAATTGCCACGATTAAGGGCTGTACAGTGCTTGTACATGTACTTACACGTACTGCAGTGTTCTGTATTACCTTTTTTTGTCACACAGAAGCTGTCGAAGGCACAAGAATGGGCAGCCAAAATGGCAGAAGAGTTTCAAGACATTGAGATGCATGAGCTCACTATCGAGGGATGACAGACATGAGTTCTTCAGAATGATGTACAGTAAGAAGCACGTTACAGCGCAGAAGGTATGGATTTCATGCCAGGACTGTTCAAATGGCTCATCGCTACTTTTGTACTTGCTTTCTGTACTTTTGTACTTTTTTTCTTACTTGTGGTAGAAAAATTAATTGAGTACTCTGCAAGTCCCTAAGTAAGCTTTGTCAGAATCCAGAGAAAGCACCCTTTAGGTCTTGAATGCTCAGTGGATTCTCAAACGGACTCTGGCACAAGTACAGTTACTACCATGTTCACAATGTTTCTTATGTGGCTTTTACATTTTTGCCATGCCCTGAGCACTCCACAACCTATACTTCAAGTGTATCAGTGTGGGGGCTGTAGGATTGAGAGTGATTTCTGCAGGGGCCAATTTCATAGAGCTGCTTAAGCACAGAATTCGCTTAAGCACGAAAAAACCTTGCTTAATAAACAAAGGTTACCAGCTCAAACCCTATGTGATTTTCATGCTAACCAAAAGACATGTAAATACCACTCCAAAACAATATACATCACAAGAAGTTTTGCCTGGTAACCTGATTTGTCAAGCAAGGTTTTTCACGCTTAAACAAATTTTATGCTTAAGCAGCGCTATGAAATTGGCCCCTGTTTTTAAGCAAAAATCAGTGTCCAATGTAATGTCTACACTAACAACAGGGCCATTTTTACTTCAGAAGGAAACAAAAAGTGCTCCACTGTTTACATGTAAGCATAAATGTTTTGGGGGTTGAAATGCAGAAATTTATGGCCATAGGGGAAACACTGCTAACATGGCTGCTCCCTTTACTGTGTTCCACGTCATCTACAAATTAAGACATTTATACTTTACACAAACATGTACCCAGCCTTAGCCTCTTTTTGAAACAAAGCCAAGTGTCTCCCAGTGAATTAACAGTGAACATACAGGTACAGTACCTGTGTGCTTTACCTTGGGCAGCCGCCAAACGACCCACATTCACCAACATCAGTAAAGGGGAGACAGTAGGATGCAGTTACGGTTTAAGAGGTGGGCAGAAAACCCCAGAGGAATATTCTGGGTAAAACCCCAAAGAGTCAGGTAGGGAATGAAAACCCAATCCACATGTGGACCAGGCCGGGAATCGGACCCAGGACCGCAGAGCTGGAAGGTGTGGAAAGAACTACCTTGCCAACGTGACTCCCCATATACCATATCAAGATCTCAAGTGGAGAAAAAGATGAAGTCCTGTTCAGCAAATGTGTTAAGAGAGCATCACATTTCAATACTCTGTACTCTCATGATGGACTTCACAGCTTTCCCCATTCCCTGTCTATATGTATAAGAAATGACTCAGTTATAAAGCTACCTGTATTTTTTAAGTCAGTGGTACAAAATTTATAAATAAAACGCACACTATGAGGAATAACTGATGCTTAAAATATATTTATAGAATATCTGAAAAGAAAAAGTGTTTCTTGCACAATTTGATGCAGGATTGGGAGCTGAGATTCACTTAAGGCACAGATGAGCTTTGCATAGATAGAGCAGGTAGCTGTAACTGACATGAAGCAAACACTAGATGTATGCTGCTGCAAATATAAATGTAACCACTCCTAATGAGAGCACCCAATCATGCCCTGACTCTGTATTCATTTGTACATAAATAACTTCATTTTGGGGCGTTACTGGAAAGAAGCATTATATTTCTGACAATTGAAAAATCACAGCTTAAAACAACCATTCAAATCTTGACGCCACAAGTCAGGCATAAGTAAAAGGCCTTATTGAGAAGGAAGCCATAAACCATTTGGATCATATTCCCTGAATCTGTTTATAAGTTATAAACTACTGAATGGGTTGATGCCAGACTATTTATGATCGGCTCGCATTCCAATTAGCACCCCTTTCAGTATTTTCAAATGAGGCTTGAAATAAAAAGGTATTTTCTGTCACAAGTCTGAAATGTTTCTTCAGATTAGACAGGAGCTAATCTGTCATGAAATTTCCTTATATTGCATCCATTTCCACTCTCATTTCCAAACTGAAGAGTTAACCCTACTTGCAATTTCCATATGGCTGACTCATTAATAAAGTCTATAGATCTCTCTCATTGGACACCACCTTTGTGTGAAAATTACAACTGAATGTACACAAACCCACCTGGTGCCTGTGCAGTGTACGAGGTGTGCAAATGTTTTATACTCATACACAAAATGATCCAAGTATCTGCAGAATACGGCGCAACCAATACGCCTCATGAAAATAATTCAAAAATGTCAATGCAGGAAGTAAGAAGTGACGTCATTTCAGAGAGATGTTAAACTTTAGGGAAGTATGAAGATAAAGGAATGCTTTTGTCACACTGTTTATGTCCATTTACATGTTTACATGTAGTTCATATGAATGGATTTTGACTGGATGAACTACAGCAGCAATGCAGGAATATATATTGTAGATTGGGTTTTTGCTTTTTTTTTTTTTTTTAAAGATCAGACAAGTGGAGGTTTTGATTTAGAAACTGTAAGCAATTTTTTTTTCAAAATATGCATTGTCTTTTGCCATGATTTACTCCGTGCAAGCAAGAAAAATAGTTGTACATATGTACATGTATTTTCGTTTACAATTTGTCACATTCGATTCATATGTACACATGTACGCGTATACAGGAACCTGCTGCTAGAAAGTTAATTATTGAAATGAAAAAGATTTTTAAAAAAAGGAAAACTTGTGGGTTTCTATTTGTTTTGTTGGATTTCATGGAGTCAGTTATGTTCATTTGAATTCTTCATTTAGGGTTTAAGTGTATATCATTTTGAGAAAACTCAGTTGACTGATCACTAACGGTCTTTGGGGGAAAAAAGAGTACAAGTACACTACACATGTACCTTTAAAAAATCCTTGAGTACTCCATGTGGCTTGTTTGTGAGAAATCTATGAATCGGCCAAATCATACATGAAATAGAAATAATCTGAACCTGAACTTGAAATTATATTTTCTTGACAAACTGCTTTTGATTAATGCGATTTATTTTTATCTTTTCCACACGTGTGTATCAGAGTACACATATTTTAGATACCGGATTTAAATTAATCGTCAAGACTGAGATATTGTGATATTTTGTGGTACAGTTAGAAGACTGAAACTAAACTGTTCAGAGAACTGTGAAAAAGATTTCAATAGAAAATTACCACATGTTGCCCTCTTCGAAAAAGCTTAGAGAGGGACAAAGTTCTAATTTATTTAAGTGGGGAAATGCAAACTTTTATAATGGATGCATCATCCGTAATAACTCTTGCATAATTGATGTGTTTATAGTATATTGTATGTGCATGTCCTCAGTTTTCTGTGACGTATATAAGCTCGATTTGTCTAGCGAATATTCATTTAGCACTCTAGTTCTTTGAAACGGTGGCCAACATATTTCTTTTCAAAAGAAATGGAGTACCAGGTGCTAATTAAGCATCGGGTATTAAAAATGTATATACTGTACATGTACATCGTATTTTTTTTCAGTTTTCACATTTTAAGTTTAGTTTGATCTTGTAAACCCTCCTAGTAGATTAGCATTTATAAACATATACATGTACATGTACTTATTTTGTTTTGAAGTGCTCTAGAAAAAATAAACCAAGCATCCAGCTGATGTCATGTTAAGTGCTCTGAGTTCTGAAGTGTATACATAATGATTGTCAACGTGAAGAAACATACTCCGGTGTATACTCAGTGATTGGTTGAGCCGATCCACTTGGCATTTGACGACAAGGGAGAAGGCTTCAACTCTGAAAAAGCCTTATTACTACCTTCATCCTGTGATGTAAGAAGAGAACGATTTTCAGACAAGCTTTGTGTTACGACCGGTTGGTTGGTGTGAGCATGGAGGTAGCTTCTTACCTCTATGGTGTGACAAGTTTCCAAACTATACGAACATTGTATTTAGAGACAGGTATTGCCCATCCCTTTTTAAATACATGTATGTACCCTCCTCTGGTGTGCTGATTTTGGCCACCAGCTACCCCCTCCTACATTTCTGGCATCGCTTGCCCCATCATCATTACATGCTGTGGAGATAGTCACGTAACAGAGGACTACGTGTACTGACAAGAACAGATGTTTCTGATTTTATGGCAAATACGAGTCAGCAAGCGCTTACTACAGGCGCGAGAATTTGATTTTTTGCCCGTTAACTAAATGGAAATCGTGATCAATCTCTTTCTGAGGCCTTTGAAGAATTTGAATAAACGAATAAACGTGGAGAGAAGCGGATGACCTATAATATTGGCCCTACCAAGAAATCACTGCTTTTGCACAGAAGAAAGTGCTCAGTTCGTATACGCATTGTACCTCTCCAGTTCAATTGTTTTTTAAACTGAATCTGGTGTCCAGACACCCCGTTATGACTGCCATTTGCACATTGGCATTTGGAGACAAGCTTGTTTCAAATATGAACTAGCACTTGAAAGCTTTCATCAAGATGTTTACTTCAGTTCTATCTTTACCATCAAACTGCTTCATTTGATGTGCCATGGATCACTGTTCCTATAACTGTTCCTAAAAAGTTACAGTAACCACCTGGACCCTTCGTAGGTTAGCCGTTTAAATAACGCGGCGGCTGACCCACTGTATATGGACGGTTGTGTCGGCCTGAATATTTCGACTGACACTGGAGATTTCGTTGACAGGTGTTTTTCCAGGGCCCTGTCAGTTTTGACGTTGTGGTTGATCGAAATGACGATAAATAAATGCAGCCATTCTATATCCAGATTATTGGTATCAACTTTTAGCAATTATTGTGTCAGTTTCAAGAATAAATGACGGTAGTGGGCGTCGGTGTGCCGTGAGAAATATCAAAACGTGCATCTGGTAATGTATCTGATGTTGGTGTTCGGGAAGCTCGCAGGCATGCGTTGTCTTTTTATAACATAAAGGCAAAAAAGAAACGCAACTGAAACAACGAGCGACTAATCTTATCAAAATTATCCTAAACTCCATCTCCACCCACCTTCAAAACACCTAAAAATACACTCAAACTGTGCTAATTTCCTTGTTATATTATGCTTTCGAAATACAGCCTTAAATTACACATTCCCACAGATGGAGGGGGTGGTAAAATGGACATCTGGTGCAGCGTGTCTTTGCCAAGAATGACAGCTGCAAAGCATTTCTGAACAGAAGGCTGGATGTAATTAAGAAAGAAACCTTTTTTCTTTTTTCCAAACACGGTGTGGGCTTGATTACAAACAAAATACTACCCCAATTTTATCTTCTACTCAAAGTGGTCTATATAACACTGGGGCGAAGTGTTGCTGCTTGTCACAGAAACCCTGGAGAACGTGGTCTGCACACACGCGGCTCTGGTGAGAAGTACCGGATAGACTGAGAATTAAAAGGTAAGATTACTTTCAGTCGTGGTTATGAAAAACATTTAACAGCTTATAACATTAAAAACTCTATCATTTAGCATTTATGGGTCTATTGAA